GGGTCTGAGGGAGGTGGAGAAGGAAGCCAGGGAGTGCTAAGGGTGGGGGCCGGGAGAGATGACGGAGGGGACCCTGGGCCCCACATCAGGGAGACACATTGATGCAGCTGGAACCAGGAACCATTTTCTACACACCCCTTGCCCCACCCCTGCATGCCAGGCCTGATGGGGAGAAACCAGGGGGAGGGGGATCCACTTAAACCTGAGCCCCTCCTCCCCACACCCTGCACACAGGAGAGGCTGGGACCCACGCTCCTGAGGGCACCTGCTTCTCCAGGTGTTTCTTTTCAGAGTGGCATTTTCAAATAGAGCCACGACCCAGAGGGCTGTCACCTCACTTTAGTGACTCGCAAGGAACAGTAATAAGAATAATAAAAAGCAGACCAGAAAAAGTGTGTCTGCAGTGTGAAGGTCAAGCGGTATTTTGTGAACCGGTTTTTCTGGAATGTGTGTCTGTACCTGCGCACGGGTGAGAGGCGTGGAACAGTTTTCTTGCTGCGGACGCTTATCAGTTAATGTCTGGGAACCTGCTTTAGCCCATGCTGGAATGTTTATCTGTGCTCCTGGAGGTGGTATTTTGGAGACGGCGGGCGTGTTCGTGAAGTCGGTGGGTCAAAAGTTCTCCAGTCGCCCTGAGGCGAGGTCTAGCCTGTGGGCCCACGGCTGCGCTAACGGGAACCCTGCACCATGTGTCTGTGACCGTTTCTGTGTGTTTCAGGAGTGTTAGGAGGTGTCCGTGTTTTCGTGGTTGTGGATCCCTTGGACGATCCTTAGGCAGGACTTCACCTGTGCTTTGCGGGGTTCTACCCCTTGGGGGTGCCTACTGACTGAGGGCGGACACCCAAGAGGGTGTGTACCTGGGGCATGGGTTCAGGGGATGTATTTCCAGTTGGGCATCTTGCTGGGCGGCAGGTGGAGCTGACCCTCCCTCCCCAGGGTGCGCCTTCGACGGCAGGGACTGGCCTCTCTGTTTGCCACCGTGTTCCCGACATCAAGGAGACGGCTTGGCAAAGAGGAGCCCTCGACAAATATTTGTCAGATGACGATGTGTTGAAAGCAACGGGGTTTCGGGGGACTGTCTGAGGGCATGCACCTCTGAGAACGTCTTTGAGTTTCTCCCTTAGCATCTGTGTGAGGGATGGTTTCCGCGTGTGGAAACTCGCCGTCCGCAGGGCTCTCCCCACTGCCGGCACGTCTGTGCGATCGGGTCTCCCTGCGGGGGTGTGTGTTTGTCGTGTGAGTGTCAGCCTTGCTGAGGGCAGGCCGCCTGTCTCTATGGGTGCGTTGGCCGTGACCCTGACCACGCGTGTGGTATCTCCAGGGTGAGGGAATTCCTGAGAGGGGTCTGTTTCCGTTTGTTTCTCTAGGTAGGTGTGTGTGTGTGTGTGTGTGTTGTAAGATTATGTCTCGGGGCGCCTGGGTGGCTCAGTCGGTTAAGCGTCCGACTTCGGCTCAGGTCATGATCTCGTGGTCTGTGAGTTCGAGCCCCGCGTGGGGCTCTGGGCTGATGGCTCAGAGCCTGGAGCCTGTTTCAGATTCTTTGTCTCCCTCTCTCTGACCCTCCCTCGTTCATGCTCTGTCTCTCTCCATCTCAAAAATAAATAAA